GATTTATTTTCCCTGGGATAGGCATTTACTGAGATCCAAGTACTCTTTAAAAGGAATCTGGATATAAGCAAATGACTGTTTCCTCCAGGGCATTTAACCTCCCAAGTCCCCAGCGAAGCAGCAGGCTGATATTCTTCTTGAAGTTAAGAATAAGAGTGAACCCGGTGGTCCCAGCTGTGCCAAGCATCCAAGGCACAAGCTCCTTTTAGGCACCTGAAGAGACTCTAGTCAACCCAAGCTTTCATTCTGGGCCTGTATCCACTTTTAAGGGATGCAAAGCTTTCAATTCAACCCATTCAGCAAAATGGAAAATACCAAGCAATATTTTTTCAAGTTGGTTCAGCTATACTGTATTAAAGTGTTGAGATAGTTTCTCAGCTGTTTGTAATGTGAAAAGACCAACCTTTGGATAATATTAGTCTTTTTCTTCTATGTTCTTCACCCATGGCTTCCAAAACGCCTTTTTTTGTTGGTTTGTTCATTTGTTTTACAAAAGAAATTTCATTGATCTTTATATTGAAGACATTAAAGCAAAGAGGTGAAGTGATGTGCTTAGGAAAGCAGTACAAAGGAGAACTGTGCCACCTGTCCAGGGTTCCAGTCTCCCGTTCCACTCAGAAGTAGTTTCAGCGTGTAAAGAAATACAGATAGATGACTAAAGGCCCATCTTCGGATGAGGGACTTCCCCACCAGGAGGAAGCTTAGAATTAAGGTTGCAATACCCAAAAAAAGCCATGGGCACACTGACAATTGAAATGGCTACCCATCTTGATGATTATTCTCCCCTACAGCTATCAGGCTACAATCATACCAGTTCTTGCCTAGTGTCCATCATTTCTATCTTCCTACCTCATGGCTAGTCTTCGGAAGAGTAAAACCTTTTATGCGCTCTTATGGGCTGCCTGCTGTGCAGCAGGGATCCAGTTCAAACACTTTCAAAAATGAACCCAATAATTTTTAAAGCTGTTGATGTGAGACTCCTTTACTGGCCACTCTCAGGTCAGGCTGTGACAGCAGCTGATCAGCAGCTGTAGTGGAAAGCAATTCTGGGTGTACTTTTGGAGCAGCGCTCAGTCCTACAGCTGGGGATTCATCCCTCCTCCCCCTCTTTTATCCTTTGTTCCCGGCCCAGCTAGGAGGCTGCTGTGTATCCAGACAGCTCAGCAGTTGAGCTGCTGGTGGGGAATGTTACAGTGCAGTTTACACGCCTTGTGCCATAAGCCCTGTAAATGCTTAGTAAAACATGGCATTTAACGGAAGCATATCAGCTCATTTTAAAGCTTCGTCACCTGGTGCTCAGCAAACTGTTGCTGCGCTGCCTTTTTAATCAGTTACCACCAAAAGTGTGCACGTGTGAGAAGGGTTTTAATCATTTCTCCGTCCACGTTCAGGCAACTAACCGACAAGCCTACAATCCTTTTACTATGCCTTCAAAACAGAGTCCATACACTGTCATCTGCAGCACGTTATCATAGGGAATTCTGCAGCGCCAGGCTTAGAGAACATATCCCTCATGTTTCTCATACACCAGGAACATATCAGTTAGACACAGACCTACCAGGCACACACATACCTCTGAAGGAACGTGTAACAGGATGTTCAGGAGGTTACACCTGGTGCAGTGCTTTGTTTGTAGGATGAAAATACAGGAGAGACTCCAACAGTAACCATTACTGATAGAATACTAATTGTGTCCTGAGACATTCAAGCAAACAAGTTAACTCGCTATGTTAAGAGGCTGGAAATCCAACATGCTGCAGGATGCTGTTATCCCACCATATATGTCCCAAACATATAACCCCTACATGGCCTGATGGAAGATCGTCACTCCTGGATTTCATTTAAATAGTTCAACTTCAGGGCCAATTTTTTTTTTTTTTATAGAACATAGCAGGTGTAATCCTCTTAATTCTGAATCTTTAAGGTATTTCGTTTAAGAGAATACATTCAGTCATACTAACTATAGTAGCTTGGAACAGATTTCCACTTTTAATCATACCTTCCCTTCCCTTTTAAAAATTTTCTTACTTTTTTTATTGAAAAAATTACTGTCCACACTGTGTCAGAATTCAAGTAACACTTACCAGACAGAAAGTCTGTCCCCCATTGTTATGCATGTAAGGTATCCATTTATCTTAAAAATTACAAAGTATGTTTCAGTCACACAAGTCTAAACAAAATGCATCTTCTTACCCAATGTAGAAATACACCTATAACAGGCTCATGTGGAGGTTTTTACAGATCATAAGGGTTAGCACGTAAACCCTGAGGAACATGAAAAGATATAAAAAAACCCAACAAACCTAGCCCATTTATATAATGGCATGAAAGGAATTAGATTTTATTTGCCATGAATGCTGTAAAGGAAAGAAGCTGACAGGTGAAATTACATGTCACCAGTGCGAACAGAAGACCAAATTTTTGTTCAGTTTTCTCACTCATAAACCGCAACAACATCAGGCGAAACTAGTATTTTTGTAGAATGTGGAGATCCTAATTTGTTTTGGTCTCTACATGAAGCCAGTATGGCTACTTTCTGAATGTGGGGTGTGATCTGCTTTATGGTCTGTGTTCAAAGCCACGTGTCCCCTGAATTTGAGGCTGTCAGGCTGCACTTCTTAATCCAACAGTTAAAGCTTTGAACAATTCCACCCTCCCTGCTCCTGTTTCTATTAAAAAACAAAGCAAAACCACCCACAACCCAGTATCACCACAGTGGGATGAACTAAGTCCTAAGAAATACATCTCTGAAGGCAGATTTCCTGAATACCTTCCCTATCAGTTTATGAGATTTGAGCTCACTATATTTTCTTCATTTATTTGCTTGACTTGCTGCCTGCGTGTAGCTAGACAGTTAATAGAAGCACGCCTGTCCTTGGAGGCCAATATGAACTGACTGGCTGTGTCTTTGGTTCAGGTCCATTAAAAAATCTGAGCATTAATTAATCACTGACTTGCAAATAGCTTGGAAGAGCTGTTCAGGCTAAATTGGAACGTTCTGCAATTGTTTTACTTTTGGTCACAGGCGCTTCAGTGATACGAAACTTCTCCCCTGCCAGGACAGGATGTGCATAAATCCAGTCACTCCTATGTTAGCGCACACCAGCCTAGAGACTGCTTCAAGCAGCTCCATTTCTTTCTCTAACTAGGAAACTGCAGACGTGAGGAAGAGCTGTCAAAAGCAGAACTCTACCCAGAATCCCTCCACTGAAAGGGAAGTAATAAAACCTACCAGGACAAAATACCAGTGGAGCATAGTACATGGGCAAAGAGCCTTCCCTGCTTGCTGTCTGCCCAGCCAGTCAAAACCAGCTGCTTCTCCTTTTTCACTTGGCTAGGTGAAAGCATAACAGTAGACATCAAGCTGCTGGTTGAGCTTCCCATACATCACCACTAAGAAGGATCTCTGTGATCTGGGGCCAGTTTTGTGTCCACTAGCTGATGGTCACAATGATTGAATGGACAATGATGCAGCTCTGTCAGCAGCAGGCAAGCCAAGCAAATAGGTAGAGATGTTAGACCCCATACCTGAAACCTCTGTAATGTGAAGCAAGAAACAAAAATCTTTATGGAAAAGGAAACTAAGCCAGCATGACCTACAACTCATCAAGAAAAACATATTCAAGGGAATCATGATCTCATTTGTATAAGGAGTCTTCCCACTCCTCACTGAAAAAACTGTACTTGATAAATAAGGAAGATAAATAAGCAGTTATCAATACAATGAGTACTAAGTGAGGAGAGATTTTAAAGGTGAAGCTAAGGCATGTGTTCTTAAAAGGCCAAAATTCCAGCGTAAGAAAATAAATACCTAAATCTAAGAGTAATGACAGTTTTTTCTTCAGTGGCAAGTTGTACTACATGCATGTATGTTGCAAGAAGCTATTCCTTGGAAATAGTTAACCTTACTGGGCAAAAAAGAGCTTGTATTCCAAATGCTTAAGTCTGATAAGTCACCTGAATATATTCATTCCCCTCCTTTCTGCAAATTTCAGTTTTAGTGGAGAAGCCACACCAGAAAAACACAAATAATTAAGAATTACTTTCCCTGCTCCTGGTTTCTCACTCTTATTCCCCCACAGTGTGCACATATGCATGGATGGTGAAGAATTATGTCTCGTGAAAGTTTCCCCCTCGCTACCCTAAAGCCGTAAACCTTCCTCAACTTCCAAAATGCAGTGGAGAGTTAAATAGGCAATCACAGCTAATCTTTCTCCCTCTGCAGTGTTTCTAAACCTCTGGAAATTTCAAAAACTACCAAGATAGAATGACAAAATGAAATAACACACTCAAGCTTGAAGTATGGGCACTGGTTATTTGATTGAGCATGGTGACAAAAAGAAAATAAAACCAGATCATAATATCAGTGAGAACAACTCTACAAATTTTTGATACATTGAGATAGCCAGATGGAGATGTGCTTTTCGAGGAATGAGACACTGCTGCTATTTGAGCACTCAAAAATGCGAAGAAACTTGGCGGTTTTGTTTGCAGAGCTCGCTTTCTGTTTCTTTGTCAACTGGTATTAAAGACCTGGCCCTGAGGCAGCTGAAGAACCTAATGGATCCTTTAGAGCCTTTTGGCTGCAGTTCAAAGGCGGAGAAGGTATTTTAACTTGGTACCAGAGATGCACTTTCAACCTGCTATTAAAACAGTGATACAAACACAGGGATAATGAGAGAATAAGGAGAGAAATGAAGAAAGAAATGGAAGGCTGTGCAAGGGAATGGATCACAAGCTCTCCAGGAGTAGTTTCTGTAATAAGTGTGTGAGACAATCTCCTACAAGAGGGAAATGGCATATTTGATCTAATATGCCTTTCTCTTCTTGAATTTCCACAGTATGGAGAATCAATATGGGGGAAATTAAAGCATCAGCAGCAGACTCACATTTCCACTTGTGTGTTCCTATCTCAGCAAACTCTTATTAAGATAGAAGTATTTACCTCAAGTGCCCAGCTCACGTGTGCTGCAAGAGAAGGAAGGGTGTCAAAAGGATACATGCTTCTTCCGTGTAGGGGACAGCAGAAGTAGGTCGCCCCAATATGTAGCTGTAGAATGAGACTTCCAGAGTGTAGCAGTAGGACGTATCATTTAACAGACCACCAAGGAAACGCCGGCCTGTCCCTGCTTTCACAGCATCTCTGTTGAACGATGTACTGGACTGCAGGAGGAAGAACACAAAGACATGAAGAGAGTTCATGAGTGGAACAAGGGAAAGGTTGGAAGGAGTCTGTTAAAATAAAAAATCGTTAAATTCACACTGCCAAATCATATTTACGCTCTATGAGACTGCATGATTTTTTGAGCATGGCCTGGAGAGACCATTAATGGAACCAATTCTGGCACATAGACTATAAGTAATGCTTTGCAGATTTTCACAAAATTAATCTCAGTTCACTAGTAACATCAGTTTTTCTCCTCCCCTTTTGGATGACACAAAGCAAGCCTGTTATACATGAGTTGAACCTTCCAGATGCTGCCTTCTCACAAGTTAAGCTGGACTATTATTTCAGTATTGGCTTCCTTCTCTCTACTGTGCTGCCCTGTATCATAACCATTTCCCCCCCTTACCCCTTACCCCGAACTCTTAAGCAAAGTGAAAATATAGTGGCATTTACGTTTTAGTGAAACTTTCTCACCTAAGACATTTGACTGTTTCTTAAATCAGGTCACAAAATTTCCACTTCACTAACTTAAATGTTAACTGGGTGTTGCTCTCTGGGAGGAAAAATATACCACACTATTTTATAGCGCTAGCAGCACAGTATAAAAGGCGGTATTTTGTGCTATTCCTGAAGATCTGGCTTTAAGAACTCTACAGCTTTATGACTGTTCATTTGAGGGGTGGGCGGGAGGACTCCCAAGTATTTCCATAAATGAGTTTTAGTTCTCCTTTGAAGGCATGACATCTGGAGACTAAAGGGGCGCTCATCTTCAGGTTGATTGAAGTCTCAGAGCTTGTCCCTACAACTAGACAGAAAAATGGATTCTAATTTCATTTTGGTTATCAGACTCTATTCACAAATCTCATAACTATTACACTGAGTCGATCTGGGCTCAGCACAAGCTAGTGACCACCACAAAAAAAAAAAAAAAAAAGGCAAAAAGACGCACTTATTAGATCCAACTTGGATCTGTTGCATAAAAGACCTTAATATCTTCCTGCTTTAAGACTTTTGCATTGCTAGTGAAACATAAAAGATGCTTAACATAACTTTCTGTTGAGTCATTGTTCCCACGGAGGATTCTTTGAGCTATCCAGGGTCCTCTGTTGAGCTTTAAGGCTAGTAACTTTTCTTGCCAACACAAAGTTAGTATTTATCAAGTCCATCTCTTTTCAAAAACACAGAAAATAAAATTTCTTTCTTACTAAAAAAAGGTAGATGCACTGGTTCAAAATCTTAAACTTCTCCAGACCGAGAAAATCAGATGAATACTGAAATGAGAAACAACTGTTGACGAATAGTGTGTACCAGAAGATATAAAGAATGGAAATGCCTATGGGTTTAACATTCTGAGTGTTTTGAAGTCTCTCTCATGTTATAAAAAGGGAAGCTTTGCAGGTTAATTAGAATGAGATGGAATTGGGTTTCTTATTAACATTATATGTAGGAGCTTCCAAATGCAATTTCTTGTTGTTGTAAAATGATCTTTATCTTTGTGGCCAGTTGTACACAGAATGTATTCTGCTATGTGCACATCATAGAAATTCCTCAGTGTCTCAAACCTTGAGGATATTCTACATAACAGTGATACTTGGGATTACAAAGGCCTGCCAAGAGGAACACGGCACTGCACCGACATTGCTCTCTCCCCACAGCTTTCATAGCCAGAACCCAGGGCGGCCACGGCACGTAAGGGTGACCTTTGGGACACAGGCATAAAGTGTCTATAGGGACTGATGGGGAAATTTATTGTTAATTTGATATCTGGAATAAAATGCTTAAGGAGGTGTACAAGAGGGAATGTTCCCTGACTTCCTTCAAAAGACTACTGGGACCCTGAAACTGGGGAGAGCTTTGTCTTCAGTTAAAATTCAGAACCATGAAGGGAGATGATCATGCTCTGGGGATTGCTTCGTATGTCAAGTAAACATTGATTTCAGCGGATCGTGTTTCACGTTCAAATGAATGCCTGTGGTGGAATTTTCAATGTACAAGAGCATCAGCTGATGAGTATGTGTGTATGGAGCCAGCCCAAAGGAAGAAGACAACAAACATGTCAGAACATGGTATTGTGGTTTGGTAGCATAAGCATCAATCACAAGGGGAATGAGATAAATCTGTGGCTATATTTGGCCCAATGAAAACAAGGAAAATGTCAGAGACGTGGTTCAGGGAAGACATTAGGGACAGAAGTAGTCCAGTGATTAGGAGACACAGTTACTGATATGGAGTATCTATGAAGATTATGGAATCTCATCAACTGTGTTTAAGAACAAATTGGACAGGTATCTGCCGAGTATAGTTCATGTCTTTGGGATACAAGATGGACATGAGGTCCTTTTCAGCTCTATTTCACATGATTTCAATCAGGCAAGAGGGAGGTTATGAGTTGAATTCCTCATGGATGATTCCTCAAGATGACAAATCTTGCATAATATTTTCATCACAATTTTTGGCACAGTAATGGATGACCATGCCAACAAAATTTGCTGATGACACACTGGAATGAATCATCATTATGGAGGAGGCTCTGAATATCACACACAAAAAAAGCAGTGGGATGACTTCGAGGACCAGAGTGATAGTAGTCAGATGAAACTCAGCTGCACAAGTGCCAGGTCATGTACTCAGGGCCTAATAAAAAACAATCTCTGCTATAAGCTGAAACCTCATCAGCTGGAAATAGATGAAGAGAGAGTCTTATGTGTTACTTCACTGAAGTGATTTTTGCTTTCTGGCAGAAAATAGCTCAGAAGTTGGATCTGGTTATTGGCAAAATTATACTTGCTATATTTCAAAAGTGAAGCATAAGTAGTTTAAATAATTTGAAGAAGGCTTTGTAAATGGCCAAAAAAGGAAAAAAAAAAAATTGGATCTTTCCAGAGTTTGATTTCTTATAATACTATTTCGTGAGGTTTGGGGGTTTTGGTTTTGTTTTGTTGGTTTTTATTTTTTCTTGTTTGTTTGTTTGTTTACTAGAAGAGTTCCAGTTTCAGCTGTGTAAAATCCCTTGAAATGGCAATGTCATTAATAAAATCATCTGTTTATTTCTTTGCCAGGCAGTGCTGCAATTCCAGGAATAAAAAGAAGCTGAAACTTCATTTAGGCGCATAGATGTAGATTTTTAAGGCTAACTTTGTCCTCATTTTGAAAAAAAATCTGATGGCATAGACCAACTTGATGTCTTGAGTAGAAAGTAAGGTCTCCGATCTGACTCAAGAAGGTTGGGGTAGAAAAAACGGAACATAAAACTTTCAAGTATGAACACTTGCATGTTTGGAAACAGGAGCCTGGGCTTGGCTCTAGCGCAAACGCTAGAAAATTACAGGTTCAGAAAATTCAACTAATGACAAGGAAGGGCAGCAGGTACTTGCTTGAATCCAACCTTCTACTCACTCTTTCAAGTCAAGATAAATGGAGTGGAGAAATAAACAGGCAAAACTTTGACTCTTCACCAGAACTGATCTTGGCAACTGTGTAGGCAGAAACAAAGGCTATGAAAAGCCATCTATTATTGTGGCAAAAGGAGCCTTTTGCATGCACATTTATTTAATCAAACTGTAATCTTTGGGAGGAAGGGGAGGGCAAGAGAGGGGAAAGGTAAAGTTGTCTGCAAACAAGTCTCTTATTTTTCTGGGAGAATCTGTTGCCCTAAAACCCTTGAAAAGATGAACTGAAGTCATCATTAAGCAAATGTACTGAGCAGGCACAGCAGGAGAACAGCTAAACAAATATTTATTTCTCCAAGGCTGAATCACATGGGAGTGTCAACAGCAGCAGAAAATATAAAGTCTGGAGGTTAGGGGGAGGAAACACCAAAGACTTTAAAGTTCTGAAATAATTATATTTGTATAAAGTCAACAGTAATTTGTTATTAAAACACACAGATACATTAAAGCTCACAGAAGGACTGTGCTTCCCAGCTTGCGTGAGACAATGCAGTGAATAAATTGCTATTTGCAACATTAGGAGCTGCCAAGCAACAAGAATCCAGTGTAAGAGAGCAGAGCAGGAAGAGTGAAGGATTCCTCCATTTTCTGGCGGGAAGAAACCCACCAGAAAACTACACCTCGATTTCACTCACACTTGAGAGCCTCAAGTTGTGCTGACCCTTTCTCTACATCTCACGCATTAGTGGCAGCTTCCTCAGGCCTTCCTACGGGATTTCATTCCTCCTTACCGTGCTGTGCTGCATACCTTCTGTATGACAGGTTTCCCCACTGGCAATAACAGTGAATAGCTGGGCAGTTCGTAAACCAGTTGCACCTTATCAGCCATTGCAGCAGACAGAGATGTGTGGAAGGAAATAAAGAAAAAAAAAATCCAAGGAAATTCTTTCTGGAGTGGTCTCAAAGCAGAAAAAAAAATCCTGGCCCTTGGTCAGACCCCTCAGTGTGCCAGAACCCCTGTCTTCAGGGCAGTCTTGTCTCCTGGCTGGTAAGGACACTATGCCTACCACACTGTGTCTCTCCTCAGTGAATTCAAGCCCCTCCTCTCTAGGTTGCAAGCTCAACAGCTTAAGCAGCTCCCATATGGCAGAAGGATACTCTTGGTTTCTCAGCACTGCGCCACTGTCTTGCTAACAACCGCTGGAATTAACACCCTGAGCAGTCCATATTCACACAGTAAGGGCAGGCAGTTTACCGATTGACTCTGCATGCCTGTACCAGTCAAGAGGGACTCCAGAAGACAAAGAGGGAGAACATGACCTTTCTCACATATCTGAGACTAAGTTTGCCCAAATCCACCTTTTGGCATTCTGATGGACTTGGAATCTGAGTGTTTCTGCTTGGTGGTAGCTTCCACTGGTGTGACCTCCTCCTCAGAATATGTGTGAATTCACAAGGGACTTGTCTTGCTACAGCATCAGAAAACATCAGGTTGCACAAAAGGAAAAACTGGAAGCAGAAACCAGTAAATCTGTGTCCACTGTTCAGTGAAAGAAAAGGTGCCAGAAAGGGCTGAAATGTCAAGCAGGCTCCGTGTCTAGCCAGTC